TGGCTAAGAAACATCTCAAAAAGTGTTCAACATTGTTAGTAATTAGGGAAATGCAAATTAAAATCACCCTAAGGTATCACCTTATCCCAATCAGACTGGCTAGGATCAAGAGAACAAATGAAAATGATATCAAATGCTGGTGAGGATGTAGAGAAAGGGGAACAGTCATTCACTGCTGGTGGGATTGAAAACTTGTGCAGCCTCTATGGAAAACAGTGTGGTGAACTCTTAAAACACTAAAAATGAACCTACCATATGACCTGGTTATACCACTCCTTGGCATATACCCAAAGGACTCATCCTATTTTAGAGACACTTGTACAACCAGGTTTGTTGCTGCTCTTTTCACAATAGCTAAGAGATGGAAGCAACCTAAGTGTCCCTCAACTGACGAATGGTTATCAAAAATGTGGTATATTTACATGACTGGTGCAGCCACTATTGAAATCAGTGTGAAGATTCCTCAAAAAACTAGAAATAGATCTATCACATGATCAGGCCATACTACTCTTGGGCATATACCCAAAGGACTCTGTGTACCACTACAGAGATACCTGTTCATCCATGTTCATTGCTGATCTTTACACAACATTCAAAAGCAACCTAGATGTCCAAAAATATAGTACATTTATACAATGGAATATTATTCAGCTGTTATGAAAAACATCACGACTTTGGCTGAGCCTGATCACTAAACATAGTCACAATTGGGCTTGTTGACAGTTGTGCTCATTCATAAAAAGGAGTGTCAAAAGCAGAGTCACTGGACTCTCACCCAAGTATCCAGCCACTCTTCCCAGCCAACTAGTCCAGACTTGGAAGACAAAAGAAAAATGAGGAAGAACCCAATAGAGGGATGCTTCTGGAAGCCCTTGTCAAGAAACTCCAATGGACTTTCATATAAACATTTGAAAATTGCCCTGTTCTGACTTTTTTCTAGTTCCCTGACTAGAACTTGTAATGCTAATTAGTCATGTCTTTACTTCTCCTTCACATCTCCTATTCATGATTCAAGGATTTTTTTCTTCCTTTAGAGACAAGAGTTGGCAATCTGGGTAACCCCTTCAGAGGATGGCATGATAAAAATAGGAGGTAGGAACTGGATAGGCAGTTAGGGTAAAAAGACCCCAAAGAAATGTAGCCAGTTTCTTGGCTAAAAGTCAAAGTATTTGGGAACTTGTATCTAATCCTTAAAAGATTTTAGGGTTACCTCTTCAGAGGGGGGACTGTTGGAGGGGAAGGAGTGGGTATGGATTTGACCAAAACACCTTATATACATGTATGAAATTCTCAATAAAGTTTTTGTAAAAATTTTTAGAAGATTAAAAAAGAAAAAAAAAAAAGGAAGGAGCTGGGCATGGTGGGTCATGCCTTTAATCCTAGCACCCGAGAGGCAGAGGCAGGTGGATCTCTGTGAGTTTGAGTCCAGCCTGGTCTACATAGAGATTTCCAGGCCAGCTGGGGCTATAGGGAGACCCTGTCTCAAAAAGATTTTTTTAAAAAAAAAAAAAAAAAAAAAAAAGGAAGGATGTGGTGGGCTTAGAGAGTTCTTGCTGGATCCCCAGTAGCTCTCTTGCTTCCTGTGCTTGTGAGAACTTAGCTTCTTCTTCTGCTCTAGCCACCTTCTGCCACCATGCCTCTCCACCATGATGGACTGACTCTTGCCCCTTTGGGACTTCTGTAAGTTCCATTGGTCATGGTGTTTCTAGCACAACAACAGAAAAGTGACTAATACAGTAACTGGTACCAGAGAATGGATTGTTGGCTGTGAAGAACCTGACCATGTGTGCTTTTAGAGGAATGTGGAAGACTTTGGAAGTTTGGGCTAGAAAAGAAGCTGACTGCTATCTTCCCAAGGTGTGCTTGTGCCATGTGTGCTTTGTAAATAAACTTGAGAACATGTGAGATAATTGGGCAATATTTAGTCTGGGGTATTTTCTTACTTTATCCAACTAAGTATTATCAACTGAAATGGTTCCACTATTGTGATCTACTTTCCCAAGCTTCATTTTCAAATGAAGTAACATATTTCAAATATGTAACTGGCAGGTAAACTTAAAGCAGGCTTTGCAAAAGTAGTTATAATGTTAAATAATTAACTTATCCCTTCTTAAAAATTTCTTTGTTGATATATGCTATTTTATGAAATCTAGGTTCAAATTATGGCTTTGCCCTATAATATGCCAACTTTTATTGAGAATTATAACTTAATTAAACTCATCTTGGTCTCATTTCTCATCTGCTCTTTACTAGCTGTGTTATCTTTGATAAATTACTGTAATCCACTTGAGGCGTCTAAGGTTTCAAATAATCAGTCATTACTGACAGCTGATAATAAGAGATTCTTTTATCATGTAAGGACAGAAAGAAAAAAATGACTATAGAGCACTGAGGAAAGTAGCAAACGCTGACACTTTTAGCACTACACACACGGACGGATAGGAAGCTTGTGTAATTACACTAGTCTGGAGTTTACTCTTAAGTAGTAAATTTACCCTTAAGTAACATTTACAGAGGATCTTTGCTAAAATATTTTTCAGTTAGTTTTAGCTGACTCTTTGCATGGCACAAGATTTGCTCAAGAGAAGGATTTCATTTCATCATGCTTTGGACAAAGCCAAGATCATCTCCATTTAAGGACACAGAAGCAGCTGCCGGTACACATTTCAGTTACCCATAGGGAAGAGAACCTGAATTCACTCTGCTATAAGCAGTTTTAAAATTACAAATAGCTCCTCCAAAACAAAAAATCAAAATTTAAAATTAGAATTTGCAAGTGTGGTGATTTACATACGTGTAGTAAAAAAAATGATGTAGAGAGAAAATAGGAAAAAGATGCCTGGCTTCCCAAAAGGACTCTTAGTTCTATCATAAGCTGTTCTAGAAGTTCAAGATCATTCCACTTTCTAAAATTATACTTACATAGTAGTTTTCAGAAAAATGTTAGACTAGATCAAACATAGTTTTCAGAAAAAAAGCTAGATTAGAAATTCAACTTAAATTTCAATACTTGAAAACCTATGTCAATAATGCCTCATTTTCATGCAGCTGATTAGGCATCTGCAGTCATTTCTTTCCTTTTTTTAAAGACAGTTACCTTTGACATCATATCAGCTTATTAAAAATCTAGTAGGATTTTCTGGTAATTTAATGTACTTATTAAAATCTTAAATGCTTAAATTTATAAACTGCTATCTTTCTTGGGACAAACCATATCCATTTAAATATGAGAATATTCATAAATACATTGCTAAACTAACTGAAGAAAACAATAAATTAAACATGTTTATTCCTTTAACTATATGAAAAATCATTTTTTCAAAACCCAAAGCAGTTATTAGCCTATATATATATATATAGAGAGAGAGAGAGAGACAGACAGACAGACATGAAACACAAAAATTTAGCCAGGAAAAGGTATAAAATATTAGTACATACAAAGTTTATGGTTGAGCTAGAAGCTGCAGTACTAAGGCAACAGCAGCAACTCGATGAAAGCTGTTTCCCCTTTCAACCTGTATTATTCCTTGCATGCTACTGGAATTCCTGTTATAGTAACTATCTCAGTTCTTCCACATCATCGCCATCAATACATAATTATCTCTAAGTCTGAAGAGGCAGAGATCTTTAAGCAAAGCCATCTGCCCCCTCAAGCTTACTTATTTTGTTTTCAGCCACCTGCTATACACTTTCTAAATTTAAAAACTAAAAACGAAGCACAAACAGTTAATGGCCTTTCTAAACCTAAAGTAAGATAAATGAAAGTTTGGATGTGATAAGAATATGGCTAACCAATCATAACTTCAGAATTCCTGTGTGACATCATAAGACCTCCCCAGAACACTTTTTCTTCTCCACCAACTGTGACTGTTCCCACAAACCTGGTAACAGTCAGAAAACTCAGCTAGACATCCACCAGACTTCATACAACTTAATCTTCTATATTGTGATTACCACAGAAGCCAAGGTAAGAGACTGATGCCATTAACTTTGGGAATTCTTACTTTCTGTAATTGAAACTTTCTAAACTGTTAAAAAGAATCATATCTTCCAAATTCCATTTCAAAGTTAGCAAATAGAATGCCTATGACAAAATGCTCAATTTCTAAATAAATGCTTATTTAGTGACAGTTAAAAACAGACTTAACATTCTAAAGAGTCATGTTCATCTTTAAATCTTGGTTATTAGTTTACTTTTACTTTTATTTTGGTTTTTCAAATACAAATTTCTTCCAATTTAAACACCTTCCAATTGCATTACATATTCGGCAGTAGTGGTAAATTAATTTTTCCATACAAAAGCATTGGCTTCATTTGTTATGTTTTTCTGCCGAGCTCAGTGCAGAACTGGGCTATTTATTTATAGGTGGAACGATGTGAATAGTTGTTGGAATATGTACATTATTAGCATGCCCATTCCAATGTCATCATTATGATTCCTTAAGGTGATAGAATAAAATGGGTTGTAAGAATAGATAATACAAGCTACTTTTAAAATGCTTTTGAAGATTTTTATTAAAACACTTCTAAAACTACCATTTGAATAAATATAATTGAGTTTAACACTATAAAGAACAAGTTTGAAGTTTTTAAAATAATTGTCATAATCTTTCTAAAGTCACAGAATAATAATTCAATACTTTAAAAATAAAAAGGGCTTTTGACATATAAACATTCCTATGTAAGACAAAATTTGATAAAATGAATGCTTATTATTATACTTTTGTTAAATTTTTATTCTTTTATTCTGTGTAAGTTTAATCTCATGAATTTAGAAGTAAAACAAGAAAAAACAAAAGGCCTAAGAATGGAGAAGCCACAATAACCTTCATGACTTGTGTTTGGTTACTATCCTTCCTTTATTATGTTGCAATCCTTAGCCTACTAAATAAAGTTTTCTCACTTGAAAAGCTGTTAGAACATAAAGAAAATTACATAAATTTATTCCATTATTTTTATTTTCATATCATACTTACAGCTAAAATGAAACCTCTAGAACTATCAATTCCTGCAACAAATATTAATTCTACTGCTCATGACAAATAATAGCTTTCAAATATCCTAAGCAGCTTTCCTCAGTCTCTACGACTGAGGTAACTTAACTGCCTCTGAATACTTTTGTATTCATAAAATACTTTTCCCTTTTTATTATATAAATGTCAGTGCAAGTTTTTATGCACATAATTCTTCATTTTTTAACATTTGTGTTCATTTGTGTGTCTATGTGTGAGCACATGTATGTCACAGCATGTGTATGTCATGTCGGTCCTGGAGATGGAACTCAGATCATCAGGCTTGGCAGCAAGCACCTTTACTGCCACTGAGCCATCTCCCTGGCCCCCACATCTTTATTCTAATGCCCATCAAATAACATTCTCAGATTTCAATGGTGTGTGCAGCAGTTCTTTCAGTGGGGTATGGGGGGCAGGTAATGAGTTTCTTTTTATCAGAATTTTCCTACATAACATTTTGCTCCAAAAACCAGGCAACTTCAAGAAAAAAAAACATAAATTCTGCTATTAGAGTAACTTTAGCAGAGTAATAGGATTACATAATTACAGTGACTGCTGTTAAAATTTTCAACATAATTCAAGATATGTTTAAACTATTCACTTCTATCTTAAGATAATTTTAAGTATTTTGTCTATAAATATATATGCTTTATAAGCAAATGCTAAAAATGTCAAATGTAATCAAATGAAAGAAATGTAAAAGATAGGGAAATTATTAAATACTGTTTGTAATGCAAGTTAAAGAATGAGAGCATTTGCCTTACCAAAAGCATCTGCCTTACTGCCATTTTAGAAAACATAAAGAAAAATGACTGCATTTTGGTCAAGTATTAATAAATACTATTTCTTAACCTCACCAATTTAATTAAGAATATTTGCATAAAATAGTTTAAGAAATAAAATCTTAATGTATA